CTCTCCAATAAGACGTACAGGGTTTCAAACCGGGCTACGAGTTCATTGAAATCGTCGTCTTGGATGGAAGTGAAGGCACTGTAGACCTCTCCAATCCGCTCATCGCTCTTGGACAGTAGGACTATGTGCTACAAAGTTTATAGGTCAGATTAATCCTGACGGTAGAGAAATGGATCAACTCACCGGGATATACTTCCCGAAACCAGCTCTCATCAGCTCGGAGCGAAGAGCCATTCGTGTTTGCCATGCTTGATCTTCACCTAGCTCACGATCGCTACTATGGATCAACAGATTGATGATGATAAGAATTCGGTACTGAAAGGCATCTTTTGATATCCCGAATTCCGCTTCAAGCGAAGGCAGCGTTCAGACTTCGCAATGACGCACGCACTGTAACTCGCTGTAACGCTCGTCGACGCGCTAATCTACAACGGTCTCCAAAGCTATAGACGCGAACGCAGCTGTAGAGCGCTGGCGCCGATCGATTCCCGTCGTCAACTCTCGACCAATGGGCGTCGGCCGTTTGCGTTTTGAGAGTATGGAGAAATAGGATGGCGTCTCGTCACACAGACTTCGCGATGACGCGCGTCGTCGGCGTTACAGCGCGTTACAACGCTTCCACGCTCGCGAAGTCTGAACGCTGCCAAAGCAATGAAAAGTAATTCCAAAAGACATCACAAACCACGTGGTCCACATCACATTCTTTGCAAAATCGAAGGCAATCCAAAATGGGTTTGAATCGTGGCTGCTTGGTTCTAGCCGACAACAGCGTAAGTTCCTTGATCATTTTCTGGGCACTGAAGAAAAAAGAAATCACGGACTGTAAGAATTACAGACTTGTAAAAATTGGTCAAAAAACTGGTAAACACATGGACGAGCGGTAAGGTACTACTAACCCCGTCATCTCCATTTGAATATTTTTCGTAGTTTCCTGATTAACCATACCGAGTGACGCAAGTATTTTTACAGTTTCGGCTCTCAACGCACGAGCCACTTCAGTCTCTTCTCCTTCTCTAGGTCTTCGCTTATTGATGGCACATAGAACTTCAATAAGTCGACCGATAGCGCGTGAGTCACGTTGCAAGACTAGCTCGAGTCCAGGCTAAATTCAATGGATATTCAATCGCGATACCACTAGTAAAACACATATATTCAGGACGACATCAAAGAAATGAGCTCCATTCACTTACGTAAGTATTGACTATAGTACGAATACATCGCACAACTTCCATCAGTAACGACTGAAGATCGCGCGATTCGATAGTGTCTTCTTGTGCATTCCTCAATTCCTCCAGAATCTGAAATGAGAGCGTAGACGCGGACCGAACAGGTTTACAGTACAGTGAAGTAGACGTTTGGCTTTTCGCTCATGAAAACTAGACCAATCAAAGAACAGAGTGCCCTTGCCGACCAGCATTTTTCAGTGCATTCTACTGGAAGAGGAGAACAGTACACTCACTTTCGTACATCCTGGTCCCTGCTATGCTTGAGGTGAATGGGTTCGCATCTGCAGCAGCGTCCACAAAGGTGCACCGGAATGGACCCAGAGGGCAGTGTCCCCCAGAGCTGTTCGGCACTAGCACAGCCAGCCAGCGCCACGCCCCGCGGTCCATTGCATTTGACCATATCTTTTCGTCAACCGTTTTTGCTTACTACGCAGTACGAGTGTTTTTACGTTTCGGCTGCCTCCCACGCCCACCGACGCCGGGTCTTTCCTCTTCCCTTCAAGGTCTTCGCCCTTATTGAAATGGCCTAGCCTTCCCCATCCGTCGCGATCGCGCGTGACGTCAGGCGTGGCCACCGCCTCGCCTCGCGTCCGGCTCATTCCATGCGATATTCCCATCGCGAATCATCTCGTCCACATCATATAATTTCGGCCGAACATCCACAGCCATGTGCAGCTCCAATTCACTTAGTAAGTAAAATTGAACATAATAGTACCGAATAACATCGGAAAACAAAACTTCCAATCAGTAATATGACTGAAAAGACTCGGCGGATTCATAGTGTCTTCTGTGGCATGATCTCCCAGTTCCGTCCAGCATCTGAACATGAGAGCGTAGAATGGCGACGCGAAAGCAGGTTTACAGTACAGTGAAGTATACGTTTGGCTTTTCGCTCATGAAAACTAGACTAATCAAAGAACAGAGTGCCCTTGCCGACCAGCATTTTTCAGTGACTTCTACTCGGAAAGGCAGAACAGTAACACTCACTTTCGTACATACATCCGGTCCCTGCTTATGCTTGAAGATGGATGGATTCGATCTGCAGCATGCGTCCACACACAAAATGCACGGAATGGACCCAGAGGGCAGGCCCCCGGAGCTGTTCGGCACTGGCGCCTGCCACCGAACACCAACCACAGCAAAGAGGCACATCATTGTGTTGGAGATTTTAGTCGGGTCGTACCGACACCGCCTCCCGCCGCCCTCTGGTGTCTCCCTCAAAATCGAACCGGGTCGAGCGGGGGAGTGGGGGTGGGAGAGGGGGTTGGGTTAAATATCACATGCTAAAAGCAAGCCGCGAGACAATACGACTCTCCCCTCCCCCATTCCAACAGTGATCAAAGTACGATCCGCCCCCCCCCCTTCTTTTACAGCCACGTCGGTGAGCGAGAAAAACGCGAACATATAGCAAAAGTCATAAATTTTTGAATTTTTCTCAGCCCAAAGACGACCCCCTCTGTTGGGGATTCCCCAACAACGATGTGCCCGCCACAGCCAAACGTGCTTCTTGTCTGTGCCCTTTCACTTTTGCTTATTCTCTACTGCTGAGTGCGTGCTTCGCTGCGGGGTCTTGGTATCAACGCAAGGGCTGGACCTTGAGGAAAGCGCGATGGAATCCCAAACAGCACGCGGGTGTCCTTATCTTATCCTTTCAGCCTCAATTCCATGCTCTCCCAAGTGCCGAAGTGTCGCTTCTGTATGGCCACCAACCCGTTCTTCTCGCACATGGCAAGGAGCGTCCTCGGGGCAATTATACAGCTTTCCTTTTTAACAAGAAGTAAACAAATCATTGAATTGCTTACCAAACCAAACAGTCGACAGATCAGCTGCAATCCATTCTCATCGCTATGCTCATTTCCATACCTAGCGAACTGAAAAGTGTTCCATATATTCGTAGAGAGATGAGAAATCGAATTAAAAAAAACTAAGTAGACGACCAACTCTTCACGATATAGGTGTATCAAATAGGCAAAATAAAAAGCAAAATGATTCTCCACGTAAAAGTTACACACCTCGGATAGATATTTCACACCTTCTCCACCAAGTATCACTCTCAAAGTGACTACATCGCTTTTTTTCTCCAACACGTTTTTGCTATCTAGTACTGCAAGTAGGTCATCGATCATCATTTTCGGCGACTGAAACAACATTATTCAGAAGAATGAATGGAAGCCACGGCTCGTACACAATTTATTTGAGCGTGATGTTCGGGTGTTGGAGCTAGTGAACTGTCAGGAGATCCGAGTTGCGGCACGGCGGTGGGCTGTAATCGGTGTCGCGCGGCCGTCGCATGCAATACGCACAGTAGCACGTCAATCGCTACATCGCCGCCAGCGAGCTAACTCCGTTTCTGCGCGTCGCCGCAACTCGGATCTCATGGTTCGCTCCCGAAACTTGGTCCCATTGGTGATGAAATGGAGCCAAAGGCTGGTAACTAAACTACATAGCCTTTTTTGATGTTGGATTTTCCCCAACTGAGCAGCAACCACAGGCAATGAGTCGAAGACTTCTTCTCACG